TCCATTTCCCTTTCGCAATCAATTCAAAAGTATGTTGGGGCATGCACGTGCAGGCTCTTTGGACTAATCAAAAAATATAACTCTATCATTCCCCTCCTCCCTTTGTCTGAAACCTATGAAAAGCTCCCTCCCCCTGCAATTGGGGCTCTCAGATGGGCCTACCATGTTAGTTTGGTCTGAGAGTCCGAGCTTAAGCCTGAATAAAGACTCTTGGTTCTTGCATGCTCTCTGGACTCCATGGTAATTCTTGGGGATCTGTTCTCTGGGCACAACAAGCCACTGTAAACACTTAAAATCATAAGTTAGAGACATAGGAAAGCTTTGGTGTAAGCAGCACCAAATTCGGGTTTTGTTTTGGTTACAAGTGCTAGGTATTGGTAATGTTTCCGTTCCTGTGGAAGGTTGAAGTTTTAGTCTATCTTCCAGATTTTTCATGTCTTCTGTCTAAGAACTGGATGTTATAGAATTTGTAAATTTAAATCAGGTAAAAAAAAAAACTATCTAAGCACATGCCACCACTTGAAAAGCTGAAGACCATGAGTCTAAGGGGAGCCTAGGCTATACAATGAGAGCCTGTCTAAAAAAAGAAAGAAAGAGGGGTTGGGGAGATGGCTCAGTGATTAAGAGCACTTGCTGCTCTTCCAGAGGACCTGAGTTCAGCTCCCAGCATCTACATAAATGAACTCTCAACTGCCTGTAACTCCATCTCTAGAGGATCTGATGCTCTCTCCTGGCTTCCTTGGACACCCGCAGGCACACAGCACACTAATAGTAATAGTAAGTAAAAATTTAAAAATAAGGTGGAGACTAATTTAGGAAAATATTCAATGCCAACCTCTAGCTGCCACATGCATAGACACACACACGTACCCCCCTCATACACATACACATACACAGAGAAAAATCTTTTGCTTCTACTCCCTAAAAATGACCAACTTAAAAACATAATTAAGAGAACAGTTTTATTTATAATATATAAATAAAAATAAAATACTTAGAAATAAGTTTAACAAAAGAAATGTAAACCAGGCATGGTGGTGCATGCCTTATAATCCCAGCACTCAAGAGTGAGAGGAAGGAGGATTGGGAATTCTGTACCAGACTGGGTTACAAAGTTCCTAAAACAGATTGAAAGAAAAAGAAGGAAGGAAGGAAGGGAGGGAAGAAACATGAAAATGTGGGCACTAAAAACTATGAAATATTGTTCAAACAAATTAAAGAAGGCATAAATAAATGGGAAAATATCCCATGTGGGTGGATTGGCAGACAATTTTATGATATTGATATGTGAATTCAACAAAATTCCTGTCAAAATAATAGCTGTCTTTTCTGTGGAAATTGATAGGTTGAACTTAAAAGCAATCAAGGGACACAGAAATGATCTTAGAATAAAAAGGGAAACTTGGAGGACTCATTCTTTTCTTTTGAAACTTACTACAGAGCTACAGCACCAGGGCAGTGCAGTATACAGTGTTGATTTACAGAAGAATGGACTAGAATTGAGGATCCATAAATAAGCCTATACACTTGTGGTCAATTGAGTTTTGGCAACAGTGCCAAAACAATTCAATGAAGGAAGGAAAGAATAATCTTCAACAAATGGTGATGGAACACGTGGACATTAATATGAAAATGAATGAATTTAGATGTCACCCCACTACATCATAAACAAAACACAATAAAACAAAACAGATCAAAGACATAAACAGAGATACTAAAACTGAGTTTTTCTTTTAAAGATATTTTATTTTTATTTTGTTGTATGAGTGTTTTGCATGCATGTTTATAAATGCACCATGTGCATGCCTGATCCCCATGGAGACCAGAAGAGGGCATCAGACCTCCTGGAACTGGAGTTAAGGACAGTTGTTAGTTGTTAGCTGCCATGTGGGTGCTGGGAAGCAAACCCAGGTGCTCTGGAAGAACAGTAAGTGCTCTTAACTGCTGAGCCATCTCTCCAATCCCAATCCCCCTCTTTTTTACTTTTATTTTTTGAGACAGGGACTCATGGAGTCCAGACTGGTATTAAACTCACTAAGTGACTGACTATAACTATCTCTGCCTCCCAAGTACTATTGCCAGCATCTGTCACCATGTCAGGCTTAAAATTTAACATATTTGCAAATGTGGATAGGCAATAGTTTCTTAGACATGATAGTAGCAAGGCACAGGCCTCTCCCTCCACCAAATTTAAACTTCATCAAATTATTATTCTTTTTATTTCATATGACACCCATTAAGAAAGTGAAAGGACAGCTAGAGAGCTGGCTCAGTTGTTAAGAGCACTGGCTGCTCTTGTAGAGGACCTGATTTGGTTCTCAGCACCCACATGGCAGTTAACAACAGTCTATAACTCCAGTTCTAGGGGATCTGACATCCTCCTCTGGCCTCCATGGTATACTTACATACAAGCAGGCAAAATACACACATAAAATAAAAATAATAAATGAATAAATGTTTTTTTTTTTTTTTTTAAGATGGGCTGGAAAGACGGCTCAGAAGAACACTGGCTGCTCTTGCAGAGGACCCAGATTCAAGTTCCAGTACCCACATGGTAGCTAACAATGGTTTATAACCCAGTCTCAGGGGATCCGATGCCCTCTTCTGGCCTCTGTGGCCACTGTATGACACAGGTGCACTTACATACATACAGGTAATACACTCATACCCATAAAAGAAAAAAAAAATTTTTTTAAAAGAAAGCCAGGCACGCCTTTAATCCCAGCACTTGGGAACAGAGGCAGGTGGATCTTTGTGAGTTCAAGGCCAGCCTGGTCTACATAGTGAGTTCCAGGACAGCTGGCAGCAGGTAAAGGTGCTTGCTGCCAAGCCTGACAAACTGAGTTCAATTCCTGGGACCCACATGGTAGAAACAGAGAACTGACTCCCACAAGTTGTCCTCTGACCTCCACATGTGTTTTCTGGTACACTTGCACACCCCTGCACATGTTCATACCATAAATAAATAAATGTAATAAAATTTTTCAAAAGAAAGACAATGAGAATAGAGACTTAGGGTGATAGCTGGTAGGGAAAAGCACTTGCCATACAAGCATGAGGAACTGAGTTCAAATTCCCAGAACCCACATAAAAAGCCAGATGCATAGCACAAATGTCTGTAATCACAACACTCTTACAGAAAGAGAGAAGGCAGAACCAAGATAACCTGGCATACACAGCAGGAAAACAACAACCACCACCAGAGACTGTCTCAAACACAGTGACAGGCAAGGACAGATACCCAAGGTTTTCCTCTGACCTCTACACATGTATCCTGTCACACTTTCACCTACATTCACATACATAAACACACACACTCACACACATCAAAAGGGAAGGGAAGAAGGAAGGGAAAAGAGAGAAAGAGGGACTAGAGGGATGATTTAGTCAGCTCAAGTGCATTCCTTGCGAGCACAAGGACCTGAGTTTGATCCCCAAAACCCATGAAAAAAATGCTGAGCATGTGGCACAAGTTTGTAATCCCAGTGCTGGGAAGGCTGAGACAGGAGGATCCCTGGAGCTTTCTGGCCAGCCAGCCTCACCTACTTGGCAACCTTCAGGCCAGGGAGAGACCCTGTCTCAAAAAACAAGGTAGTCAGCCCTGAGGACTGACACCAGAAGTTGTCCTCCTGGCCTCTTCCCTGTGCATCAGCATTCACACACACTTGTACCCACATACACACAAACATGTGCATTAAAACAGAAAGTGGGGCTAGAGGGAAGTTTCAGTGGTTAAGCGTACTGGCTCCTCTTACAGAAGACCCAGGTTCCGTTCGCAA